TCTCTAAACTGCTCTGTGCCCCAGGCCGGGGTGGAGGGTGGGAGGCTGGGGGCTGAGCCCTATGAACTACAGCGCCTGGTCCGCTAGCTTGTAGATGGGCTGCACCAACGGGAGCTTGGGTCGGTGGGAAGAGTTGTCTGGAGGGAAGGAGGGGCCGGGGCTGGGTGGTGACAGTTAAAGGGGACAGGGTTTCTCTAGGGATGAAAATGTCTTTAAACTGACAGTGGGGACGGTTGTCCAGAGCTGTGAATATACCAAAAAAAAAACATTGAATGGAGCACTTTACAGTGATAAATTGCATGGAATGTGAGTTATATCACAGTAAGGCTATTGTAACAAACAGTTGTCCGTTTTCTCTCCAAAAATACCCCCAAAAGGCAGCCTCCTTGGTCATGGCCCCTGTTTATCCCTTTGTTTTCTCTCTCATTCCTGCACTTCAGGTGCCCTTTGCTCCAACCAAGTTGAACTCTTCCCCCAAGCCCAAATCACATGTTTATCTGTCCTGTGACTTCCCCTGCCTGGTCACATCTCTGGGAATGCCTCCCCTGGATCCCCCACAGCTCCCCAACACCATCTGGGCACGAAACTGTCAATAATTGAATATTGTCATTTTCTTCTACTGATTTAAACTTGAGCCAGGTGTCGTCCACCTTGTATTCAATAACTTCTTAGGGGTCTCCTTCTGCTAAATGGGCCATGAAGTTCTTTAAGATGGGGATTAAGACAGACATTTGTTTTATATGCCCCACAGCACCTAGCCCGATGCCTGGTTCATTGTCCTCAGTAAAAATGTGGCCCCACAGATGCCTGCTGGCGAGCTGTGACACTTTTGAATCAGAAAGAAAATCTAAAATTATTCTCAACTGGCTAGCTAGGATAATTAAGACGGGTCTCGCATGGAGGCTGGTTTAGGGTTTCCTGGATCCTGAGAATGTGCTTCCCAGGCCATTCTCCTTCCCCTGAGAACTGCAATGAAGCAAGGCCAGAAGCACAGCTCAGAAGGGGGATCCCGCATGTTTTATGGGGATTGACCCTTGTGACAATGATTCCAGTCACATCAGTCAGTTGTACAGAATTATAATTAATACTCTGAAACTCACCAGACAGATCTAGGGCTCAACAGGGAAAAAAGTTAAATGACATAGAATTTATAGAAAAGCATATGGGAAGCCATGGGCAAGATGCTCAGCCTCACTTTTAAGCGAAATGTACATTTGATGACATTCAACTGTCATTTTTCACATACCTGGAAAGGATGCCAGTCTGACACGCTCATTGGATAAAGGTGTGGGGGAAGAGGCTGGCAGCAAAATGACTAGATTCACCTTCACTGGCGACAAGTCAGCAACACCTCGAAGTGTCAGCCTCGGAACCAGCACTTTGACGCTGAGACCTAAGAAGCTGTTCTCTTACGGACGGGGACCCTTCCTGAGACACGCACCATCAGCCAGTCTTGTCACTGTGCATGCCACAGTGTCATTACACAGACCTCTTGGGACCACATTGTAGGTGTGATCCATCAACTCAGCTTCCTTACCACAATGTCAAGGTGAAGCAACACAGGAATGTAATGACAAGGCCTGCTCCCTGAGGGAGGGGCGTGCAGGAGACACCGGCTGCCCTCTTGAAGCTTCTACATCTTGTTCTTTTTTTAAGATTTATTTTTATTTATACAAGAACTGGGGTACAGGCCAGAGGCACGGGAGGGCGAGAGGATTCACCAGAGCGGGGAGCAGAACAGGCAGATGGACCAAAGACACTGCTGAGGGGAGCAGCGGGCAAGGTAGGAGCAGCGGGCAAGAGAGAATGAGAAGACTAAAATATGTACAAAATTTGTATTTTGTTGCAAAATGTGACCAAGAGAGAGTGCCAGAAAGGTCATGGATATAAATCCTGGCTGGCCGGGAATCGAATCCACACTGCAGAGGCTGCAGACAGCTTCACAGCACTGCGTTCAACCCCCTGTGCCCCCGGGGAGGCCCTACATCTTGTTCTAATTAAATGTACTTCCTATTTAAAAAGTACACGAATGCTAATATTCAAAAGAATTCTCTATGGCCATACCACCCCGAACATGCCCCATCTTGTCTCAAAAGAGCTTTAAGCCTAAGGGGGGAGAAGAACCTTAAAAACAAAGATAAATTGGTAAGAGTCCCTTTTCATTTTTGAAACCATTCTGGAGAAGGTGGGGGTATTGCACAGCTACATAAATGCAGTTAGGGCTACTGCACTTCACACTTAGTCAATTTTGTGTTTTGTCTATTTTACCATGATTTAAAAAAAAAAAAAAAAAAGACACACAGAACTGAGTCAGGTCATAGTCAAATACTATCACCTAGAAGTGATAATGAATTGAAAACTCAGGAGCCCAGCCCACCTTGTAGGAAATAACATTCCAGAATGTTATCTTTCTTAATAAAGAAAAGTTAATTATAAAACTAAACTGCAACTTTACTGAATTTGTGAATTTACGTATGAAAACAACTGTGAGGTGGGGGGTGCGGGCAGGTCTGGGGGTCCCTTGCCTTACAGCATGAACTTGATGATTCCTTTGAAAAATGTGACCTCAGGCTGTAGGGAGAGACATTTGAAAAACGAAGAAGAAAAATGTGACCACAGTAAAGATTGTATTGAGAATGAAATGGCCCATTCCAAACCATAAGGTGCACTCCAAATTATACCAGGCAGTCCCAGCGAAACTGACGGAGATTATCCAAAGTAGTGAATTTAGTCAACAAATTTTATCAAAACCTGAGTGGTTAAAAATTTAGTGGTTAGATGCAGGAAGAGAGAATGAGAAGACTAAAATATGTACAAAATTTGTATTTTGTTGCAAAATGTGACTGAGAGAGAGTGCTAGAAAGGTCATGGATATAAATCATGGTAAGGAGAATTATTTTCCTTGTATAGAGACAAATGGAAAAGCAAGACGAGATATGACTATTCACCCTGTATGTTTATTTCCAGAAAGAGATCCAAAGAAGAACCTAGTTTGGATTCAGTTGCAGAGACAAGAGTTACTCCAGCCAAGAATAATCTCTCTCTCTCTCTCTCTCTCTCTCTCTCACACACACACACACACACACACACACACACACACACACACACACACACAGGCTTACCATTGGTCAATAATAAGCTCGAGTCACCCATCCGCTGAACCTTCACACCCCTATAATTTATTCCTCTATGCAATCATCAATTCCAGTTAATACCCTTGTTACTGTCCACTCCAATCAAATTATAACTACTTTTTATGCCCTTGTCCTGACTACACTGAGCTCCTCAAAGGCAGGAACTGTTTCATATTCATCCATCCCCCAGCACTGCAGCCCTCCTAGTGGGTATTTAATCTTTGCGGAATGGAAGGGAATTCAAATCCCAAATTCTTTCCAGTCCAGAGTAGCTATGGTCTGAGTAACACATGGAGCTTCCTTTGAGCACAAACTGTGCACAGGTTTTGCAGTATGGTACCATGCTGCGTTCTCATAACCTTTATTTTGTAGCTACATTTTATATCATGGTATTTGGGTATTTAAATGGACCTAAAAGGACATGAGCATCTGCTCATGGGTCCCTGTTGCTATTGACAGAATAGCAAATTTCTATTCCTGGCTCATTTGTCACTTTGCAAATTCAGCTTGGAAGCTTAGGTAGTTTCTACAGGGAGACACAAAGCAGCACCTGCAAAGAAACACTCACTCAGGATCATAGTCCCTTTCCCCTGCTGCTCATAGTCAAGCAACTGGGTGAATACAAAACTCACATGTGATATGACCAAAGAAGTAGGTGCTTTCTGCAGAAGCTTTTTCCATTTACAAAATGACCACATTGGATGAACCCTCAGCTCTCTGTCCACAACTGATTGGTGATGCGGACTCCTGCTTTGCCTTTACCTATTTTCTTGGGAGTTTTTCTGAGACTGGGACTCTAGCACTAGAAGGCTCTTTCATGCAGGTCTAAGCAAGATATGGCCACTGTTCTCTAATGTAAGACCAGGCCTTCAGGAAGCATTATGGGAAATGAGGCATTTCCAGGCTAACAGAGAACACAGCACCTCTCCAAAACCCCAGAAGGTAAACACTAAACAGCACCACGTGTGAAAACGAGGTGAGGGTCCCCATCCATGAACAGCATCTTCCCCTATGACACATACCCCCAACCCCTCTCCCTAGCTCGTCTCCCATTCAGAACTGGTGGTCTGTTTCCTGCCTTCCTGCTTGGTCTTGGCCCCTGCATCTTCAGTAGTGCCTATCCCAAGGATAAGTACCTCTTGACATGTGCCAGGCCCAACATCAGAATGTCACCACCCAGGTGATGGCCCCGTGTCTGTCCTGTCCACTGCTTATCCAGGGCCAGCAGGATAGTGCCTGGAATTCTGAAGGTGCTCCATGCTTTTGAATGGATAGACTGACCAGGCTAACCAACTAAACCAGCTGAATCTGGCAATCTACAGTACTCAGTTGAGACTGAAAAGAGGGCAAGACTGTTTGACATTATAAATAAGAAATACAAATCACTCCTTAGATTTACAATCGAGAATAACTAATGGATTTGTTTTTTAGAAAATGATTTATTTCTGCCAGGGTTAATGCAGTAATTAGAGCATTACAAAGCCAATGGCCTTGTAGTGTGTGGGCTAAACCTACTGTGAAGGGCAGGACTGACATCTCAGGGCACAAAATTTACTCCTCCCCCAAGCCGTCCTATCATCTCTCTGCTTCATATCCCCCACCCAGTACTGCTTAACCCGTCATTTGCATGGACATATTTTCTATTCATTACATACTCATAATTCCAAATAGAATTTACTTTCTGTCTCCCAGAGCTATTCACAGAGTAGACAATAAATGCTTGAGGAACTGATTCATTTATTCCGTATTCTGTTACCTTCTAGATAGGTGCTGCCAACTGTCGGCATTTTGCCAGCGTAAGAAGCTAAGAGACCTATAACCCACTTTTCCTGGACATTTCTAATAAAGCAAATGACAAATACCATAATATAAGAAAATGATTTTATTCCTAATTTTTAGTTCCCATACAGTTTACAAATACACTTTTACTCTGATAATACAGCTTTGCACCTAGCAAAGCAGTTGAACTAACACCCATAAATACAGGTGGGGAGACAATTAACATCCACTAATGCTTCTCTACATAAACTATTCTTTTAATGTCATTTTTAAAAAACAACTGCAAATAGACTACGTAATACACGTGGGCAAAAAAGGCAATTAAAGGAATCTCTTGAGACACTAAATGTATAATAAACAGTGCATATTATCAACATTTACACGATTCACATCAAAACGATGACATCCTAAAACGTATTCCTTTTAAAGGATAGATTTATCAATAAAATATTACATATCTTTTAATACTCTGGTACAATACTTCATATACTGCAGGAAAATTAAATGTAGGTCTAGTCATCCGCTTAATAAAGGATCCTTTTCCATTAGCTTTTATTAATAAAAGAATCACAATTAGGTCATAAATAAACAGGCAAATTATTAATTACATGATTTGAGGTTTAGGATGAAAACTTGTAAAAATTAGTTTGATATACAGTAAAGTTATACAACACACTAAAACCAACTGTTTAATATTTTTGCCTAGTATGAACTGCCCGTAGTGAAAAAGGAACCATGATGGAAGATACAATAAACTATATTTTGGAACTTACTTTTCAAGAGGAAGAGGGGAAAAGATTTCAACACCATGAAGGGCTAACACAGATCATAATAAAGGCATTGTGAAATCAGGGAGGCCATGTGCTTGCTATATAAAACTTTATTCCCCCAACAACATACAGAAATCAAAACCTGCACTGGATTTGTACTTAAGTCTACAGTCTAAGTTTCCCTTATGGATTAAAAATCTACAACAAAACACTGCACAATTGCTTACCTTTTCCACATTCCCCTGAACTAGAAATGACCCAGGACTTTCTATTATTTCTTAAAATCCCCAGCAAGATAACCCCTAAAAAATAATCTCAATGAATTCTTGGCTGTTCCAAAGCCACTGGCTCCGTGCAGGATGCACAGATGCCAAGAAAGTAGTACAGATCTTTTCTCCTGCTTGTTTTGCTATCTTTGAAAAGTCATTGATTTCAACGGGAGCGATGACCCCAATTTTCAGGAGGGCCACACACTGGTTAGGAGGTGCCTTGTCATTTTTTTAAAAAAATTTATTAGGACTCTGAAATTCGACTTTTTACAAAAATCCCAACGCTGCATGCCACGTAATTTCTCTACCCCAAATATAAAATCCCATGATTATAATTTCAAAATATTCACCAGTTATGGGTATTGTGCAAATTCTATGTCTACCAGCAAGCCCAGAAGCAGGTGTATATGTGTGTGTGTCTCTCACACCTACCTTCCAGGAAAACTGATTCAACTATCAGACTGCTCTGGCCCTGGACCCTTTGACTTCCTCAGAAACCACCTCTTTAGAACTTTCATTTCCACTGTTTTTTGAAATACGCACCTCAAGCTCACCCCATCTTCACTGTCCCTCAGCCTGATTCCATCAGTATAAAGTAATCTCGTCTGAGAACCTGCAATCACCTTTTAGCAAACACACGCCAAACTTCAGCAACCTAAGGACTGTTAGAATCTTGTCTTGGTATTTAGTTCACATAACATGACAGTTTGCTGACTTTGTGGAGGGGTATCAAAATGGAATCAATGTGCTTTAACAAAGCAAGCGAGTCAAGATCAGGCGCTTCTGCTGCAAGTGCAAGAGCAACTCATCTTACGCTACAGGCAGAGACATTAATGCAGCAGATAGATCTGTACAATCAAACCCCTGGATGCTGGTGAAAGACTTTGCCCCCAAAGTACAGAGTCAAAACAGTATTACAAAATCAAGGCAGACAGACCCATATAATGTGACGATGCAATAAAAAGAACAGATTTGAGATGCTCTTTGCAAACACTGAACTGAAATCTCTTTACAGGCTTGACGAGAAGACAGTAGTCACTTACATTCCGCTTATAAGATAATACCTTCAGCCACACCTGTGATCCGAAGCAATTCTAACTTCCATGGATATGGGGGGTGGGGGAGGAAGAGGAGGGATCGATGCACATTTTGCTCGTGAAAGGGGCAACTGCTCTCCCCAAACTGCCTCAGGGTTTCGAGGCAGGTGAAGACCTCGGGAGGGAACTACCACCAGGCCCACATCTAATCCTTCCACCAGGAGTCAAAGCAAGAAGAATCCGAGTAAGGAGAACATGACTTAACGGCAGAGGGGCCGTTGCATTTAGTTATCTTTACCAAGTCAACCAATGTTACCTTCACTGAGATACACTCGCTGGATGATGACTCCACACACAGGGCAAAGAAGGATGTCTTTGGAGAAGGCACTTAAGGTAGAACATTAGCAAATCTTACCGCTTGGTTAAAACAAAAATGAGCTACTGCCAACTCGACCTGATCAGCGGCCTCGGTGGGCCTCACGCCCCACAGCCCGACTGCATGGGTGCGCAGAAGCCTGCCTGGCCCAGCAGCAGAAAGAACTCTCCAGAAGTCGCGGCACTGGGATGGCTCTGCTTCTAAATGCTCTGCCACACACACCCATCCATCCTTCCAAGACCCGTTTTCCCAAGGGATGGTTCAAAAATATGCTCAGAGCTGGCGGTGCGGGTGCAGCATGCTTCCGGGGGGCCCTCTATTCTCGGGCTGACTTGGAGCTCACCCGGCGGTCAGAGGCAGCCCAGGCCGCCCCGAGTCACCAGCAGCTCCTACCTCTACCAACTGTAGTTGCTTTTCCGTAGCGCCGGTGCTGACAGGCTGTCACACTGGGGTCCCCCAATGAGCCTCACCTCCACTTCATGCCCCATGTCCCCTCTTCCCAAGTTTGGGCTGCGCTGTGACCTGCTTTACTCAATGGGGGCAGGAGAGAGGCTGCCACCATTCTGGGTTTAAGTCTTAGAAGTCCTGGCTGCTTTTGCACTGTAGGGAGCTCTGGGATGCCATGTGAGAAATCCAGCTATCCTGGGACTGCATGCAGAGAGAGGTCCAGACGTCCAGGCGGCAGAAAACCTGCCAACCACACGGGTGACACCAGCAAGGTGTGTGGAGGAACAGCTCAGCAGGGCCCAGTCCAGACTGAAGCACAGTGAGGACCAAAAAGAAAAGTTGTTTTAAGCCACTAAGTTATGGAGTGGTCTGTCACCAACAACTGATCACCAAAACACTGGTTATCCATAGATGCAGTTTTTCCTAAAGACAATGATTCAAATGAAAAGAAAACACGGTGAAGGCTTTCCCACCACCTTCTCAGTCAATAGGCTGAATAGTACTTGATCATCTGAGAAGAAAATACACCTTTTATCCTAATTCCTGTGTCCACTTCTTTTCCCATGATATTCTAATGGCAATGCAAAGGTAGACAGTCAACTTCTGACAGCCCAGGGAACTGGCTTAATTATCATTTAGCCAAGAAAAAAAGGAGAACAGCAAAATGAATTATCCATGACTAGATAAGCGATAATAAGTGAAACTATTCTCACTTCTATAGGATGCTGTTGCATAATTTTCCCAAATCATTTTTCCCTCTTACAAGAGCTCCATCATCCCCAATGAGAAAAAATATTAAATTTGTTAAGGTTATAAAAACAAAAATACCCTTAGTAGAATTTGAATCACCATGATCTGCAAAATATAGAGCACAGTTTAACTTCTTCAATGTAAAATGAAAGTCTTTAAAATGTAACATTGTCTACATTGTAGAGATGATTTCTTCTAATCTGAGGAAACAAGTAACTGGAAACCAGGTATTGTTGAGTTAGAGTACAGTGGTCTTGAATGGTTTCAAATGTCGCTTATCAAAAAGGTAGTCAACAACCACGCAAGCTTTGCAAATTCATTCTTCACATAAACTTTCTTGCATCTGCTCTTGATCTTTTTAAGGAGAAGGTGAAAGTTCACATCTGGGGAAGAAATAAGTTAGAGTCTGTAAGGAGTACAAGTCTAAGGGTTTGGGGATGCATGACATTACCTTAAAGTAGGTTTAAAGTAGGCCTCCCTGGTGGCCTAGGGCTATCACCACTATGGCCTGAGTTCGATCCCCAGATAGGGAGCTCACCGACATATGGCATAGCAGACCTCTCCTGTCTCACCTGCTGCTCCCCTCAGCAGTGTATTTCAATAAATCTGCCTGCTCTGCTCCCCACTCTGTCTCTGGTGAATCCTCTCACCCTGCCCACCACCACCACCTCTGGCCTACACCCCAGTTCCTCTATGCAAAAAAAAAAAAAAAAAAAGTAGAGGGCCTCCCCTGGTGGCGCAGGCGGTTGAGCGCCGCGCTGTGAAGCTGTCCACAGCCTCTGCATCACCAGTTCGATCCCAGCCAGCCGGCCGACCAGCAAGGGTCCCACATGGCGCAGCAGACCTCTCCTGTCTCGCGTGCTGCTCCCCTCAGCAGTGTATTTCGTCAGTCTGCCTGTTCTGCTCCCCACTCTGTCTTTGGTGAATCCTCTCACCCTCCCGCACATCTGGCCTGTACCCCGGTTCTTATATAAATAAATCAATAAATCTTTAAAAAAAAATAAAAAGTAGTTTAAAGATTTTAAACATGGTACCCATTGGATTGAGGATTTCATCAAAACATACACCAACCACACACTCAGGTCACTCTCTAAAAAGGTGACTGACAGGGAGGAAACATACAAGGAGATGAGTTCCAGCAGCACAGCTGGAAGGGAGTGGACTGGTCACAGATGCCCAGGCTGTGTCGCAAAGACCTCAGGCACCCTAACCCCAACCACTGTTGTGTCCAGGTCCCTACAGACCTCTGAGTCCAGCACAGGGAGACTCCCTCTCCTAAAAGCGGCGGGAATGGTGCTATCTGCACTTCATCATCAATATCAACCATGTCCCTGGGCTTCCCTGGTGGCGCAAGGGGTATGAAGCAATCCGCAGCCTCTGCAGCATGAGTTCAATCCCCGGCCAGCCAGGGAGCAACCCACATGGCGCAGCAGACCTCTCCTGACTTGCCCGCTGCTCCCTTCAGCAATGTACTTCGGTCAATCTGCCTGTTCTGTTCCCCACTCTATTTCTGGTGAATCCTCTCACCCCCCCCACATCTCTAGCCCATACCCCAGCTCTTGTATGCATAAATAAATAAAATCTTGAAAAAAAAAAAAAGAAAAAAAAACCATGTCCCTATAAGAAGTGCTAACTTTGCCCCTCACAGAATCAATTCTGCATTTGGTTTTAATACTTAATGAACTCTTAAAAACAAGTTCAGCTTGGAGGAAAAAAAAAAGAAGTAGAGGGAGAGGAAAAGGCAAGCTGGTTTGTAAAACTCAATTATGATGCACTTAGCTGAAACACTCACGTTACTTGACTGCTTAAAAATGCCACAAATGATATAACCAATTAACAGAAACAATGTCAGTACCGATTTCTGTGCTGAAGTCCTAGTGGGTCTTCTCATCTGAAGCTCTTCTGCTGCTGCATCAGCCCCACATTTTCATAGACTCTGGCATTGTCTTCTCTCATTCTGAAAAGAAAGATAGATGTCAACGGACAAGCATGCCTTGCGGCTTCAGGGGACCAACGCGATGTGGTGCGGACGCAGAACACCCAGTACCTGGCATGCTAGGAAGAAATGGAAGACACAGACCACAGCATTTATAAATGTGAAATTAAAAGTGAAACAGAAGCCTTCAGTCCCTTTGGGGTTTGGAGGAAAATGAGTTTTTTTCCAAGGTGGCACAGAGCAAGAAGCATCTGGATTCACCCTTAGGAGGATAGGATGTGCACAGACAGAAGAGGCCCCAAGCAGAGGTGTGGGGACTGGCAAGAGCCCAGTAGTAGTCAGACAGGGACTAGAGACCTGTGGCCAGAGTCTGCCTAGCATGAAGGGGAGTGGTGACAGGAAGCCGGGGCTGGCTTAGGGCCCCAGGCGGGAGGGCCAGTGCAGCAGAGTCCATACTCCATCTGCCAAGCAGAGCATGGAGATCAGTGCAGGCTAGGAGGTGGAGGAAGCCAGCAGCTACGGATGAGAAGAGTGAGACAAAACAAAAAGGGGGTCGGGGTCCGAGGTCTCCTAGCTCTGCACCCCAGAAGGGACATGACAGGAAGAGGAGGCACAGAAGCTGTAAGTCACGGGCCAGCCACTGGTAACAGGGAGTCATCTGTGCCAGCTCTGTTGTGCCAACAGAGGAAAGCCCTTAGCCCTGACCTGTTGGTCCCACTACAAATTACTGCAGAGAGCAACTTAAAATATCAGCTTTCCCAGTCAGTCCAGCAGGAAGACGCAACTTGGTGGAGAGAGCGCAGAATAGAATGGCTGTGTAATTGTTTCAGTGTTAACTAGAAAGCAAATGTTAATAGGGGCCATCTTTTAAAATGTTGATATAGAGGATTAAAGTCAGCAGGGGCTTAAAAATCCACATCAGAATCAAATAGAGATGAAGATTCTTAGGGGAAAATAGAGAGTAAATGTTATACCAGCAAGTGACTTTAGAAAAACAGTAATTTACAATTGTGACTCACTATCGATTTAACAAATGATTCCCTATCTTGTTTTCATTTAAACAAGAAGCTGGCAAAGTTTTTCTGTAAAGGACTGGAGGGTAAATATTTCAGGCTCAGCCTTTTTGTTTTTGACAGAACCATTCAGGAGTTGTGCAAAAATAGGCCAGGGCTCACTGGGTCTAGGGGCTGCATCACGCCGACCCCTGGTTTAAATGCCCCAAAGCTAATTACTTTTTTTCCTCAAAAAAATTTTAAAAAAAATTTTTAATTGAGTAACACTGTTTTACAACACCGTGTGTGATTTGGGGAATAGATTCACACCTCCTCAGATGTATGCCAAAGCAGATTCCTATTGCCTGTGGAAAAGCAGATCATGACTGTGTTTACACATTAATCATGAATTTATTTACTTTTACTGAGCAAACATATTTGTCTCAACACATCGAAAGGAGCTTTCTGCTTAGGAAAATTAAAATCAATTTAAATCCACAACAGTGAACATGCACAGGTGAAAGGCGCTACAAAAATGTATTAACATGATCTTTTTAAACCTTGCTAAGGTATGGTGTTTGGGTAAACAATTTCTCTTATTGCTACTTACTCGGCACAGGATGGTGTTGGCGTGCAAGGTGGGAGGGGACTCTGATCTCCGCTTGTCTGGTCTGTTAGGGAATACTTGATATTGGTATATTCGTGCCCTTTCCTCTTGCTTTTCTGAAAGGTAAACATTGCACACATGAGGAGGTATGAAGTTTTTAAAGGAATAAAGAAGCAAAAAAGCGGTGTCACCAAAACAAACAAAAAAGAACAAGAGAGTGAGACAGATAAATAGGTTGGACCTTTGAGAATTAAAGCTATGTTGACATTTTTGAACATCTTAAAGCAAATGTTACTGAACTCACCTCCTCGACATAAATATACCATATGGATGAAAAGTACTTTTGAACCATTCAATTCTAAAGCACAGAGTCATACATTAACAACTTACTGTATCCAACCAACTGTACCTGTTTCTCACCTCAGGGAGAATTCACACTTTCTTTGCCACATTCCCATCTAATCATTTCACTTGCAACACATTCAATGATTTTCAGGTAACCAGCTGGGAAGAGTTCCAAAAATAAATTCGTTCCCAGTAAAAATGGCACATAGGTACAAAAGATGATAGCACTCTCATTAGAAACAGTAATACACTTTATCCTATCTTCCCACCCCCACCCTGGAAAAGACCCTTGCACCTTTAAAATATTTGGGGGGGGGGTGGGGAAGAGTATGGGGGATTCTAATGATAGGTCTGGAAAAAGATGGTACTGAAAACCAATAGAATATCATCTCAGCTCAGATCCAGACTAAGATACAACTGGCAGGACTCGTAGTTGGATGGTTTAGCACCCTTTTCTAGTCCTAGATTCATCTAGAAACAACCAATTCCAAAACTCTAAGTTATAATAACATCAAGTTATTGTCATCACATTGCAGGATTACACAGGAAATGTCAAAAAAGTAGGAAGGGGGCCCACATGGAATCCTGCCGTGCATGCTAGGCCCTTCACTGCTGGTGAGAAGTCATTCTTCTCAGCACTGGCTGTACCAACTAGCTAGTATCCACTAAAATCAAAAAGGCACAGATCCTACCTACAATCTAGCACATTTACTTCTCAAGAAATTTACAAACATTTTCCTACAAGAGTTGTACAATAATGTACTATTCCTGATAATGTCCAAGAGAACAAATGAATGCGATGTATTCAGATCATGAAATAAAATAATAAGCAATAATGAGAAGGAACAACAAAAAGTGTACGTATATCAAAATAGATTCAATTAATAATGTCAAATAGAAAAAACACAAATTGCAGAACAATAAAAAGGTATGATATTATCTATTAAATATTCTCAACACAAAAACAAAGGTAGACATTGTGTATAGATATCTGTATTTGAACTTTAAACTATAAAAAGGGACAACAAAGCTAATGATTGCCTTGGGGATTCTAGGGGTAGAGAAGAGGGGTGGACCTGAGGGTGGGGAATTAGAGACCTCAGCTATACCTGGTATACTTGATTGCTTTCATAAAAGGGAAAGACTTAAAAGAAATGTGACAAAGTGACTGGAAACAATGCACACTGTCAAGGGTGCCCGAAAAAGGAACTCTCATTCGCTGTTGGTGGGAATATAAATTGGTGCAGCCTCTGTGGAAAAAGGTATGGATATTCCTTGAAAACCTGAAAATGGGATTATCATATGATCCAGCAATATGGCTCCTAGGCATTGATCTGAAGAATATGAAAACAATACAAAAAGATTCACACTCCACTATATTCACAGTAACATTATTCACAATAGCTGAGATGTAGAAACCATCTAAATGACCATCGATGGGTGAGTGGATAAAGAAGGTGTGGCATATCTATTCAATGGAATACTATGGAGCTGTTAAAAAGATGAAAGCTTGCCTTTTGCAACAACATGGGTGAAACTTGAGGGGATTAAGCTAAGAGAAATAAGTTCAAATGTAAAACACAACCATTCAGTGGCTTCTCTCAATGTGGACTATAAAAAACCAAATCAAAGAAATCAACACATCACAATAAACATAACTCTTAGATGCTATGAAAAATATAGTAGTGGCCAGAGGGGGAGGGGGGGAAAGGTGTGAGGAGGAAAGGGTAATGGACATCAACCTGATGGTAGCAAGAGCATTATAAGTTTGGTGTGAGGTAAGGCTTATTCACACACAAAGGTAAAGACTTACTCCTTAAATTTATATATTTTTTAAATCAATGATCAATCAATAAAGTTTTATTAAAATATAAATCATCATTTTGGGTGTGGTACTGTGTTTTTTAACTTTTCAAAACAAAGTGTAAAGCATAAAAGAAATTTAAATGCACCAGTGAAGTTTATTTTTTTCCAAAATAACTAATAAAAGGTGGAAAATTTATTACACATGAAACAAAGGGAATGCTCCCATTCCAGTCTGCAGACTGTCACACCTCACTGACTGAAGACCAAAAGCTGGCCCAAGATAAGGGGCCAGCTGAGAAGTGACACACATCCCCCTGGAGTCTGGCAGGAAGGCCACTGTCACAGAAGTGAAGTGCGGGGGAGTTAGTGAGCTGCCCTGGCCTTGATCCCAGAAGATGTGGGGAAAGCCTAGGGGGAGCAATTCAACACGCAGGGTCACCCACGTGCTGAAGGGCCTTCTCTGCTGCCCCTAACTGCCCTCCATGCTGGGGTGGCCTGGCAGTGACAGGAGGGGCATTAGTAACTCTGACTGCAAGGGCTGGCAGTCACAAGGATCCCTCAAGTACCTACACAAAGGTGTGCTCCCAGGGCAAAGGTGACAGGGCAGCTGAAACAACCTAAATCAAAGTCGGGAACCTTCTCAGCTCCCTGCCCCTCCCCTCACTACAGACCCATCTGGTAATGAAAGGGTTGGCACTGGACCTCTAGAAAGATGGGGCGGGGGGAAGGTGTCAAGAGGAGAAGGAGAACAATAAGCAAAAAGCTGATGGAGAAAACACATCACAAAAGAAACTAAACCATGAAAGAGAAAGAGAGAAAGACAAAGTTCTGCATTAATATCACAGACTTTGCAGACATGAGCTTTCATCAGAAAGAGCTCAAGTAAGGGATTAGGAGACTACAGAGGAGATGAAAAGCAAGCTGTCAAAGCAGTGGAAAGGAACAAGAAGAACAAACAAGAAATATTTGAAATTCAAATCCAATTAAAAGGAGTAAAAATAAAATAACTAGAAACATAGGAAAGAGCATAGTCAACAGGCTAGAGGGCAACATAGGACAGAAGTGATAAAATACATGGAAGTGAAGGAGGAAGCAAGGAGGAGATGCCATGTCCATAGTAGAATTCCTGAAGACAGAACAAAGAGAAGAGGGAAAGTACTCTAACACATAATGCGAGAAAATGTTCCTGAAATTTAAAAAGAAAAAAAATTTGCATTTGCATTTTAAAAGGACACATAAAATAGGGAAAACTTCACGATCAATCTCTCCAACATCAACCAGAAAGACTCCACCTGAACTGGATCTCCAGGCAAAAAAACTCAGTCCATATAAGAAGGGATAATCAAATGGACTCTGAACTCCAACAGTCGCAGAATTATAAAAAGTCGGGGGCCTCCCTAGTGGCATAGAGGTTAAGTCTCAGTGCTATCACCACTAAGGCCTGAGTTCGATCCCCAGCCAGGAAGCTAACCTATATATGACGCAGCAGCCCTCTCCTGTCTCACCTACTGCTCCCCTCAGCAGTGTATTTCAGTCAACCTGCCTGTTCTGCTCCCCACTCTGTCCCTGGTGAATCCTCTGACCCCCCACACCTCTGGCCTACACCCCAGTTCTTCTATGCATAAATAAAAATTTTTAATTATAAAAAGTTGTGTGGAGAAAAAAGATGGCCCAAGAATCTTTACACTTGCTAAGGGACCCTTTACTTAAGAAGCCAGTGCTCAGACATTTTCAAGCACGCAAAAATTTGGAATATAGTGTCTTAAAAATAAAACAAAAAACCCAATAAAGAGTGAAAACTAACCAACAGAGATAAATCAAAATCAAGAATTCAGAGCTATAGAAACCATGATAGAAAAACTAGAATTTTAATTTAAATACAGCAATGACACTAAACAACTGTGGCAACAAGAGATATGTCATAAAATGTACCAAAATCAGGAGACAAAAGAAAAATATGCAAATTCATTTTCACAGATGGAGTTAAAGATCAATTATTATAGCAAAAACAGTTAACAATTTCTAAGCACTTAGTTTGTGCCAGGCATTATATGAATATATTATCTCATTTTAATCCTCACAACATAGGAAAGAACACAGTCTTTTGAAATAAACACTATTACTAACCCTACTTCACAAATAAGCAGCATATAATTTCTTTTTTTTTTAAGATTTATTTATTTATTTATACAAGCACTGGGTACAGTCAGAAGCACGGGAGGGTGAGAGAATTCACCAGAGCCAGAGCAGGGAGCAGAGCAGGCAGGAGGACCGAGGTACACTGCTGAGGGGAGCAGCGGGCGGCAGGAGAGATCTGCGCGCCATGTGGGACCCTCCTCTGGTGGCCGGGGAGCAGCCGGGGATCGAAATGGCGCTGCAGAGGCTGCGGGCAGCTTCGCAACCCAGCGCTCAACCACTGCACCACCGGGGAGGCCCAGCAGCATATAATTTCTACATCATGTGCTTAAACCAAGGGTTGGCAAACTAGTCTGGGGACTTTTTATAAGGCTTGTGAGATAAGAGCAGTTAGCTATCTCACAAGTTTAGTGGTTTTTAAAAAGTTATTAAAAAGAGTAAGGATCAGAGAGCACATGCAGTCTGCAGAGCTGAAAAGATTCACAGTCTGGCCCTGTACAAAAAAAGTTTGCCTGGGTCCCTGAATGACATTGTGGAGCAGATCTGCCCTATAAACCTTCATTATAGATTGCCTGTCACCTTGGACTTTTAATGTTGAAGAGAAATAAGCTTCTATCTTGTTTAAGCCATTATTATTTGGCCTCTGTTAAGAGAGCCAGACCAATTCATTAACTATTTAAAAAATAAAAAAGGCAGCATTATAGACTTATAGACCAGGGGAAAATTTGCAAAAAAGAAATTCAAGGAGAAAATATTTTATTTAGTCTATTTACTAAATTTTTTGAACAACCATTTATAAATATTTAAAGGCCTTGGGAGTAATCACCTCTAAATAGCAGTCACAGATTTTTAGAACCGTAGTATCAACTTACATAAAAAATTATATTTAAACATAAAACTTTTAATTAAATATTAAATGGAAGAATTGGCAGGGAACATTACTTATTTTAAAACACATTCAAAGTTTGAAAATCTTAACCTTTTTTTAAATAAAAAATTTCAATATACAAAAAATAAAAACTGAAGCATAAACTTGCTTTCTACTCAATACTTTTAAATTGTAGTAAAAAACACAGAACACTAGATATACTCTCTGAAAAGAATTTCAAGTGTTCAGCATGATGTTGTTAACCGCACATCTTATTAAACTGCAAAGCTCTAGAACTTTTCACCTTGCATGAATGAAACTCCACATCATTGAAAAGCAACTCCCCATTTTCTCATTACTTTCTTGAAAATCAAAATCAGTATTTCTACATGAAGTGATTACAAAAGAATTTTCTAATGAAGAATAATTAATACAAATGGGACAGGAATTACTTTAATGAGTCAAAGTAGCTCAAGGAAAAGCGTTAAGAGGTGGGAGCTTTGCAGCTAATTTAGGGAGAACAAGCACTGAATCTGATTCACAATTGTGACGAGTTCGTTTGCAGTACCAGGACGGCCCAGGCTGTCTCAGAGATCACGAAAATTCTCAAAGGGTGGAGACCTTTGTTTTTTTTTTTTGTTATGTGAAGTGGAGAAAATTTTGTTTCAGATGCCTAAAAAATGGTCTGAAGTTGATCTAGCCTCCACGCCAATACACTAGCATGGTTACCAAGGTTTCTGCAATATTTACAATATCATATGGCCTTGCTAAATGACACAGCCAAGGTTGAGAGGAGAGACCAAGCACGAAGCTCCAAAATCATCTGGTATTAAATATCTTTCCATGTAAAGGAACTCCAGTTACATCCTTAGATTTTTCCATTACAAAAAAAGTTCAAAAAGCCAAGAGCAAAAAGAACGGGTAGAAATAAAATGCTTTTTTGTCTTGGCTACAAAACAAGACTGACTGCTCCTCTGGTGTGCTCTGGGGTCAAGTGTCAAGCTCGCTAACACCTGGCCTCCTTCCACACCTCATCACAAAATCCCACGGGTTCCACTTCTCTCCAGGCTGGCTGACATCCCCACCCACCAGCCACACTACCCACAGTTCTCACCTGCTGGTCCCCCCATAGCTGTCCAGGCCTAGAGACCCAAGAGGTCTTCCCTCTCAAGCCAGGGCCACTCCTATTTTTAAAATGACGATCATTTTATGTCACCCCCCTCCTTTAAAATCCTCAGTGGCTTCCCCATTCACCTTGGGATTGAGTCTAAAACCCTTGCTATACCTGTAAGCCCCACCCCTCAAAAACAGATCTCTTACTTTTCTATTCCCACCCATGACACCCCCTTCTCCCCACCACTTCCCTCTATCCAAACACTGGGAACATGACTTCCAGAATATGACTACTTATATTCTGGTGTTCAGAGGCAAAGGAGTACAAAAAAGGTGTAAATGTTTGCAAGTTTCTATCTTTTCATTTTAAAAAGTAAAGCTGTATTTAAAAAATAAACAAAAAATATACCTATATAAGTACAAATAAAAAACACATACTATGCACCTGTATACAGAGAAAGAAAATGAATGATAACGCCGGTGTATTAAAATGTTCACAGAAGTGCTGGGTAAAGGGGATTCTATACACTATTTTTGCAAATAGAAACTCTTTAATAATGTAAATGGAAGCTAAAGAAATCCACTACTTCCAAGTAAACGGTGGTGTGAGGAGAGACATTTATATAAAGACTTTCCCCATTTGCTTCATTTGCATTTTCTGCTGGATTTCCACCTGCACTCATATATCCTCCTTCCCAGTACTGTCTCTACCTCTCTGCTGCCTCCCCACTGCTCTCTACCCTGTCATTTTCTTCTTTTCATTCATCCCTATTTAGCAAATGCATTTACTCCTCAAGGTCCTCAACTCTTCATTGTTTTGGAAATGTCTACATTTTATAACAATTGGTTATCCAGAATGTGTTTTGTTCTTGGGTAACTTTATGCTTAAACTATTCTTGGATCAAAATAAGTATAACTGGAAGACAAATACACAATAGCCTAATAATCTAAAGAGTTCTGAGCGCTTCAAATAGGATAAAGTCAAATTTAAAGCACTAAAGTTTAAAACCAGTGGTTTGGTAGTTGTTTGACCTACATTTCTACACACAGTGTTTCTGAAGATGTTTTTTGTACAATGAAAATAATCTAACGAGTACCTTTGTGTGGACGAAGGTCTCACTAAACTAATAAACATGCATCTTGCTTTGGCTGACCATGCTTGGATAATGTGGCTACTACTCTGCTAGGCTAGAAATCTTGCCAATTAAGTGGCAGGTACTGTTTTTAGAAGAACTTGGCTCTCATTTTGAGAAGCTGGGTTCTCTGGAAAGCAATGAACAGGGCAAGGCAAGCCAATACCACTGATGTTTAGACATTACCCATCTACAGCACAGCAAGGGGCAGGGGTGGGGTGGGAGCTAAGCAGAGCTCCCCAAAAGAGCAATCTTCTCATTTCCCTCGTATCAGCGTATTCCTAATTAACTCAGCTTTGTGTCTGTTATGAATAGCTTCAAATGGAAAGGCTCCAATTCCACATTCTTCCTCATTATGCACGGCTTATTAAAATTGAAATTTCACTGTTTCCAACTCAACCAAATTGGTGATTCAAACTGCTGTGCGCTATTAAGAGTGAGGCATTCATTTAAGAGATGGCATCAGGATAAATATGGCCTGGATCTAGACTGGAACAGGCTGCAAGCTTCAAGGATTGGAGTTCTAAGCTTGCTTGCTGTGTGAGGCTGGGCAAATCCCCACCTTTCTGTGTGGCAGCACCCCTTGTGGCCTGGAGGGCAGTAGGGCATCCCTCTACCCTGAAAAGTCAGAGGTGCAAAGTAGGGAACCATTCGTCTCCAGAAAGACACTTCCTGGTGGGAATGCATTTGCCATTCCCAAAAGAGACAATCATCTACCAGAATCTATCCTCCTGCTCAAAAGGAGAGTATAACCAAGTTGCCCAGAAAAGAAAATGAAAATCAGCAAGTCGGCCCCTCCGCCTTGGTACCTGCTCTTCTTCAATCCTGCGCTGTAGTGTTTCGATGTAATGCTGGACGGCCATGTAGATGAATCGGTACTGTGCTTCTGTCTGGACCATCCCTGACCTCTGAGACCGCACCATCTGAATGGTCTTGGGAACGTCGATGTCACAGTCCACACCTACAAAGCAAACAGCACTAGCATCAGGAAAAACCTCAGCCAGCGGAGAGGTTTAATGTTCGGCTTCCCACAGATTCAGAGAGAAAGCAAGGCAGTCTGCAATATCTCACTGACGTGACCTCAGGGCTCCAGCACTGATCTTTGGACCAACACCAATGTTCCACATGGTCAAGTGTCATGTGGGACAAGTGTCATGATCAAGTGTCAGAGATGAGGGTTCCCTCACCTTCCAACAGCTCCACCCCACCCTGTCAGCAAGCATCATGGGGCTGGGGAGACACACTTGTACCTTCCACAAAAGATCACAGGGATCCACAGACCCTAGACTTTGTTTTATGCCAAAAGCACACACAGCATCACTTCCGTTCTCTGGGAAACACACCTGAAAGTTGCAGTCTTCAGCCTGGAGTTTTGTGAAAATTTTGTAGCGTTCAAATTCTCTCCCCCAGGCTATTTTCATGAGCACTTTCCTTTCATAACCTAAAAACAGGAACGGTAGCTTCTTGCCCTCCAGATGACCTACCTTTCTCTCTGATGATGTCGATCAGGATATCAATCACAATGAAGGTCCCTGTCCGGCCGATTCCAGCACTGTGGGCAGGAGGGCAGAGAGCAGTGACAATGGAGCCATTCATGGGGGCTCATACTCAAAACCAAGCTATGAATATTAACAAACAATTCTGCTCCAGGGAGCATTTACAAGATTGTCTATTTATATTTTAAAATACATCAATAGACAAAGCACAGGGCTTTGGAGGCCATACAAGCGGCGCTCAAGCTGGCTCCTCCAGGACAAAACACCAGGCAAGGCTCTCTACCCCCTAACCTTGAGTTTCCTCTCCCACCAGTGGACTGGGTGTTACAGCAGATACCTGACAGGGTGGCTGTGAGGATCGAACATGAGCAATGGATGAGAAACACTGAGCTCAGAGGCTGACAAAGCAAGTGCTCAAGAAGCAGCAGCTTTAAAAAACGGAACAAATAAAATTTCTCACACATCTGCTTGCCTAACAGATGAATGAGATTCAGGAAGCCAAGTCTCCCGGCATAACCATGAAGCCCAAACAGACAGAGCAGCCTGCAAGCTCTGTGCAGAAGCCACAGGCCTGGCTCCCGGAGGCCCAGTGGGGAACAATTTGAACCTTTTGACCCAAGTAAGTATAGTATCAGGAGGAAAAAGAGATCTTACATCCATGGCAGAAGAGAACAGAATCATAACCAAAGAGATGAATCCTAAATTACTCTCTTTAAAAAGAAAACCAAGTCAACATGACTAGACTAAGGGCTCCCTGAAGTAAGTACTGTGTCCACCCTCTACCCCCCCAGGATCTGGCAGATCTATGAGAAACATAGTTGGGGGTCAAAATGTCCCCAGATGCAGTTTAACCATGCTTCAAATAGAGAGTATGTTTTGGCCTCAGTTAGAGGACTGGGGTCGGGGGAACCAGCCTGGGAGTCAGGAGCAGGGAGGGTTGCTCACCTGCAGTGAACCACCACCGGCCCTGCGTCCATGATGCCCTCCTGCTTGTGGTGCACCTCCTCCAGGAAGTCCAGCACGCCCCCGGGGTCACTGGGCACTCCATGGTCTGGCCAGGTCCGAAAGTGGTATTGCCAGACGGTTCTCTCCGTATTCCCCTGGAGTAGAGCCAAGAAAAACCAGAAAAGAATTAAATAAATCAAGGGGATGCAGTGTAGCGTGGTCGCCATCTTGCCCTGTGAGCCACGGGGCTGGCGGCTCGCTCCTCCCTCCTGCTGCATTTCAGGGTCCTCCTCACAAGCCTCCCTGAGCTTTTCTCCTTTGGGATCTGGCTAACAATCCCGGGGAAAGCTCTCTGCCCCTGTTAAGAACCAAGATGTCTAGTCAGGCGATTTGATCTTCGGGAAACCACAACTTGAGCCGCCTCTGCGTCACCCCCCACAGGCAGCATCCTCATTCCTTCACGTGCAGCTCGACCCCAGGAAGGGGGCTCTGTTCCCACCAGAGGAAACAGGCACCTCCCTGAGACACTTGTTCCTTTTTGTCTTTTCATACACAATCCTCCTCCTCTTCTCCAACACACACACTTTAATTCTGAGATCATGATAGTTTATGTGTCTGCTTAGTGCAAAGTATGTAAGAAGACCTATTTTGGCAAGATTCAGGCCTATGTCCCAGCATCCACATTCACTGTGTCCTGGACATCTGAGCCTCAGTTTCTTCATTTGCATCTTGCTATCACTGTGAGGATCAATGAAGACAGCCAGCACTCTGCTCGGCGTTCTTTGGAGGACAGTGAAGACCAACACTGACACCAAGACAGAGGCCAAAACTTCCCTGCTTGGGTCCACCCATTTAGGGCACCTGGCGACACTAAGTGGGATGGGGAGGGAGAGAAACTACATCAATGTCCACCACCGGGGACCTTTAAGACATCCAAGACAACCATAATTAAGATCTTTTCCTGAATAATGTGAATTTAATTTGCTGATGTCACAATAAAGATTTTTCTTGATGTTACAGTGAACTACAAACTGGGGTCTCAAGAGGACACAGAGAGAGCCCAGCCCAGCTGCCGCATACACCCTGCTTCCCACAAATGGTCACCAGGGTCTCTGCCTCAGCTTCTCCTTGAGGTCGGGGGTTTAAACGAGATCATGTGACAGCACTTTAGAAAATAGGTCACATGCGTGAATGTGTGTGGATCCTATGTGAGTGGTAGCTCTGGAGTCACGAAAGACCCCAGGACTGCACCTGCGTCCCAGGGTGCAAAGACCAGCCCAAAAGCCTGAGGCCGGCATCCCTGACAATGAGCAGGCAGCTGGCTTATCACTAAAACTGAAGAAAAACCCTGCCTGGACTCTTTGTCTGAAGTCTTCTAAATCTCTCTTATTTCTGCTGTCAGCTCCCCTGTCCAGCTCCTCTCACATCTCTGAAACATTCTAGCTTAGTCCCACCACCCCCAGGAGCTCCCCAGCCCACTGACCCTCCCTCAGCACTGCCTCCAGCTTGGCTGCAGGGGCGGGGAGAGATAACCCACTGTCCACCACACATCTCCAGCCCCGACTCTCTCTTCACCCTCTGTGCCACCCAGCTAAGTCCCACACAGAGATGAGCCCAAACACCCACTCTCTCTGTCCTATACCTGGGGAACAGCGGTGCCCTTGCAGCAAGATCATTCACCCAGGTAATGGTGTTGCTAAATATGCAGGGTCACCATCTCCCTGGGGCCTCAGCAAGGCCCAGAATCGACTGAATTTCTTGCCCTCTCTGCACAACTGCTATTTCATACTTGCTCCACTTTTCTCAGATATTTCCTCTCTTCTTACTCCCTTCAAATGTCGGTTGTTGCCATGCCTCAGGCTGGAGAGAATAGAGAAGACCCATTTCTGCTCTGCTTCTGCATCTGTGGCCACCTGCTTCTCCTTCCCTCCTGCTGCACCAGGAGAGCTATCCCTCTATCGATTCAAACCAATCCCTTCACCCCATTTTCCCTCCTTACCCAACCTCTACCCTGGCCACTCTGACTTCAAAGTCTCAAAGACATCTCAGACTTCACCTGTACAGAAAGTTGTTCTTCATCCTTCTATCCTCCTAGCCTCCCTCCTCAAATCCATTGCCACCATCCCACTTCTCAATCTAGAAAACTGGCCCTCCCCTTTAGGACCAGCCCTCCCCATCAAATCCCTCACATCCCCACAATGATCTCATCGGCCCTCACTTTTTTGTTGCCCCCACCACCAGCCCACCACCTTTCAAGGAGACACTCCAAGCCTGCCCATCTCATACACCATCCACTCAGACTCACAACCCTAACATGGGCTGATTCTTCCTCCTCCTCCCAGAGTCAACCTGTGGACTCACCCCCAGGCATCACTCACATCCCCCAGCTTCTCTTCCAGTTAATTCTGGCATTTTAACATCATACGCACTTCCAAAGGGAGAAACAAGATGTACAACAAAAAAGAACAGGGCCTCCCTGATGGCCTAGGGGTTAAGTCTCAACACTATCACCACTACAACATGAGTTCGATTCCTAGCCAGGGAGCTGACCCACATGGCACAGCAGACCTCTCCTGTCTTGCCCACTGCCTCCCCCAGCAGTGTATTTCAGTAGATCCGCCCGCCTGTTTCTGCTTCCTAATCTCTCTGGTGAATCCTCTCACCCCCGAACCTTTGCATAGTTCCTCTATGCAAAAAGAAAAGAAAAGAAAGAAAGCACAACTGTCATTGTCTCTGGAATGTGTGAGGAGGCTGTTCGCCCTGGACCAACCACTGCAGACCCATCTTCTAACAACCTTTGGCCTCTAGGCCACCCCATCCCAGTCCATGGGTGTCAGGCACAGCCTGACACACAGATCTGCACATTCTTAGCAAAAAAAAAATCACAAATTCCAGGTCAACTAAAGAATAGCGCGTGCATTTATCTGTCCCCAGCAAACCCTTGATTCCCACTTACCTGTGACCCTTGTAAATCTATTTTCCTACAGTTTGCATTTTATTAGTCCCTCGGCTCTTCCTTCAGTACCAAGGACACCTCCACCTAAGAGGCCCTCCCTCCAACAACTGCTCCCTCGGAAGCCCCTCCCTCAGAGACAGTCTCCCTGGTGCCCAGCCCCAGGCAGCAGGGGCCCAGTCTCTGCACTTCGGCAGTGTGTAGCTGTGCATCACAGCCCCTTCTGCTCGGAAGCACGGCTCTCCACCTCCACAGAGAGATATGGCTTCTCGCTGCTACACAACTAACTGTATCTCTGGACCTCAACAGCTGGTTCATTCAACTTTGAGTCCCCAAAGACCTTGACTAAGTAAGCATCTCTAATCACGAAATTAAACTGAATCTAACCCTGCTTTGTAATTTGTTAGTCATCCCTGGGACAAACCTGAATCACGTGCAACTAAGATCTGATGTCACGGAATCTGATCACTAAATAGGCCTCAGGGTCTTTGCACCTGCTGCTCCCTCTGCTTCAGAAGCTCTGGATGCCTGACTCCTCCCTTTCCAGGCCTCAGCTTAGCGACACTACCTCAAGGAGCTCCTCCCTGTTTGCTCCTCCTCAAGTGCCAGTCACCCTCGAACATACCACCGCGTGGCCTTCACAAACCAAGCACTATCTGAAAGCTTGGCAGGGCTCTATGAGGACAGGGGCTGTGTCTGTCTTGTGTGCAACGTAGCAGTCTAGTGTCTCACTACTCATGGCACGACCAGCATGGGCCCAGCACACAGAAGCCCCCCAGCAATGCTACCGTGTCAGTGAATGAACAAACACATAATGCATGATGCATAACGCATGCCAATACGAGGAACCGCGGGCCCCTGGACTCCTGCAGACCATCCACGATTACAAAGTCGCTAAGATACGACAATATACTTACTTGTCCAACCTTCGAAAGTTTAAGTTCTCTTAATGTGTAGTCGTGAGCGGCACTCTCTTTGACGTTCCTAACGCGCATGACCCCGTATTCTTTCAGCGCATACTCGTCAGGCCAGTATTTGACACATTTACTCTGGAAGGGATCAGAGAAAAGACAGTTAATTTCTATGAACTCTGATATAAAAGCCTAAGGAGCAAAAAACAAAGGTTCAGGTCTTGCTTCAGTACCATGGAAGGCGGCCTCTCTAGCACCTCCTGCTGGGTCTTCAAGACAAAGGAACAAGGAGATCAAACAAGAGACACAGGTACTTGGAGGACCAGGGAAAAGTGGGAAGAGGAAGCAGCCTCTGCAGAACTGTCAGATCCAAACCACAGGCCACAGTAGCGTCAGGGCTTGGTCAAGAACCAGAGCAGTAGAGAGGAAGACTAAGGGCTGTAAAGGTGCCGTCTAGCAAGAGATTTGCCAGTCATTGTGCAGGAAAGGCAGCAAGGACTCCGGAGCTGGATGGGGCCCCCCGGGAAGCAGATTGCAGGTTCCTTCCGCACCAGTGTGGGAGGACTCAGCGCCTCACCTAACCCAAGTGTGAATAACTCCAGCACAGAAAGGCAGTCCGGGGTTTCAAACAGCTGCTTTTTCTATATCCAGAAACACTTGATACCTACTATACTCATCACCTTCTCCTAACGGGGTGCTGGGAAACGCCACGCCTGCAGCAGCTGCTGGCTTTGCAGAAAGCTGACTGAAAACATGGGCACCAAGAAAATCCTTCCCGCTGCCAACGAGAAAGGTATTTTGTTCAATGAGAGATGGATCTATTTATTAGGCAACGTGTCCTGTGCAGGGAATGCTTCTGTGTTTTGTTTTGTTTTTTCTGGAAGCAATTACCCAACACCACTCACTTCTCACAATCACTAAGACACAAATATCAGCAGGATAAATTTACCTTGTACATCAGGAAGACAGAAACTCACCATTATAAAGCTAGAAATATGAGAGCAGCTGCAGATATTACCACAGTTAGTGAGGAGTTGAAAGAAAATATGGAAGGAGGAAATTTCAGTGGGATTAAGGATGGTGCAATTTCTTGCTTGGCATGGCTTATGTGTTTATTTTTACTCTGCATTCAGCTTTCCCTCCAGTCCAAATACCTCTGACATATTTGATGCAATTTTTATATCCACCCCAAATAAACTCTAAATATTATTTGTATGAAGTGCTGTCACCAGCCAATCAATTCTGATCAAGGGAGAGAACTTGGGGTGAACAAGGAATTAATGCACAACTCTGAATGCACTCTGGCGACTTTAAATAGATGTAAACTGCCTCAGCCCTCCTCCCAATTTTCCAAACTCTGATGTAAACCTTGGCAAACAAATTCTAAAATGTAAGAGCCTTTAAATTAAAGCCTAGTCACCTCTTGGCTTTTTGGCTAAGATCAAGTGTAAATTAAAGCCCAGACACAAAAGGGAATGTGTGGTCTGGTTTTCCTCTGTGCACTTGTGTGTGGGGGGAGGGGACAGCAGCTTGCCAGAAAGGCCTGGGAGAGAACACAAGCCCAGAGCATCACCCTCTCTACCAGCAGAGTGAAGGAGGAGGATGAGAAAACTGGCAGGCACTGGGGGGCAGGGGGACAAGAGGGGTATGTCTGGGATAGAGCAGAGGAGTTGCCCGATGTCTGTCCTTTCTAGGAGTTTCCAGCAGCTCTTCTGAAAGGGACGGATACTGATTCCTCTGAAGAGACACAAGAATTATCTCATCAGAGCCCCCAAGTCAGCTGAGAACAGGTGGTTTCCGACAACTACAACCAGGCACCAGGCAGGACAGAGGGCTCAGTTTTTGACTCCATACTTAGGCAGCTGAACCCACCTGAAGCAAAAACAAACCATGAAGAAAATTAACTCAAGAATGTCTAACATTACTTCATGAGCCACTGCAGGAAGCCTTTGCTGCATGATGACCAGATCTGGCCTCAAAGTTATACGCAAATCTAACTAGTAGTACAATAAAAGTCTTAAAGCACCACACGCCTTCCACAGCTGATACGAAAAGTATGGGAGTTAAAATCCAAAATCACCCATCGGTCTTAGGTTTAACTTACAGGTATGACAGTTATATTCCATGCCACTTTTGGATAAACCAAATAAAGGATATTCAAAAAGGAGCCCTGTCTAGAACACAAATAGATCGTTTCCATGTTAACACCCCCCACCTGTGGGTGTGCTCACTTTGGGAGCACGCAGAGCTGTCATTCCAGGGGACCTGTCTACACCTCTGCAGGCATCACATGTTACCATTTGAAAAACCTGAAGAGCCATAAGGATTGTGGTGAGATGCAGACTGGGCACAACCATTTGGGGAAATGTCCATAGGAGCAGCACTGGAGGACAGAACTAAATAAAGTCCACAGCACACACACACTCACGATTCCTCCTGACAGATAACCCAGAGAAACACTTGGCACGTATGCACAAATGCAAGAACAACACTGTCACAAAACCTAACATAGATGATGTCAGACCCACAGCATGGACCAGCACACCGTTGCCAAAAAGATGAGACAGGCCAATATGTACTAGCCAGAGATGTGAGAACATGTATTTAGTGGGAGAAAAAGGACCAAAAATACCCAAGATGCAGGGTGAAGTTACTGTATGAAAGCATTTTTTCATACAGCATTTTCCATAAAACAGTACTAGTAGAAGCCTGCTGGTATGGATATGTACATGAAATACATCTCCCTGTGTAAATGCAGGTCTGTAATGCCTGCAGTACAGGTACTGGTACAAATGCTAAGAAGACACTGTAGAAGAATACACTGCAAATGGCTAACAGGGCTTTTACGCTGAAGGAGGGAACTGTAATTGGTGGATAACGGATGGTGACAAAGGCAAACTTTCACCTTAACTGTACTGTGTTTCAATAGTTACATGAATACTTATTTGGATAATTAATATCAATTTTTTTGATGTTAAAAAGTCACGATGAATATAGTTGACATGCAACAACTAAAAAACTGGAAAAATGAAATGAAGTCTATAGTAGCATTAGTAACAGGACATCAAAAACAGTTATAAATACACTCCACAGGGTCAAAAGACATAGAAATGATGCACATGTTAAAAGGAGAAATACAAAATGTAAAAAAAATAAAAGACCCAAATAAGACTCCTGAAAATGAAAAAGACAAAGTTTGTTGTGAAAAACATTCTGGATAGGACTAACAGCAGAGTGTACACTGCAGAGAAAAGTTAACTTTAAGACATAACACGAGCCTCCCCGGTGGTGCAGCGGGTTGAGCGCAGCGCTGTGAAGCTGTCCGCAGCCTCTGCAGCGCAGGTTCGATTCCCACCTGGCCAGGGAGATGCCCACATGGCGCAGCAGACCTCTCCTGCCTTGCCCGCTGCTACCTTCAGCAGTGTCTTCGGTCCGTCTGCCTGTTCTGTTCCCCACTCTGTCTCTGGTGAATCCTATCGCCCTCCCGCGCCTCTGGCCTGTACCCCAGCTATTGTACAAATAAAAATAAATCTTTAAAAAAAAAAGACATAACAAAAGAAACTATGCAACAAAAAGAAACACAGAGGGCAAAAAGAAATGAAGAAAATGAACAAAGCCTCAGTGAGCTGTAAGACAAGAGATAAACATGCGTGATTGGTTTCACAGGACACTGTAGGGCAGGGGGTAATATCTGAAGAAATAATAATCTGCATTTTCTGAATTTGAAGATAACTAAAAATCCACAGCTTCAAGAAGCCCAAGGAATCCCAAGCAGAAGAAACAAAGAATACAACATCAAGGCACATCATACTTAAATGTGATCCAGAGGGCCACAGTTGTCTTAATTTGCTTATTCCATACTTAACATGGTGAAACTGACATGTCAGACACTTTAAAAATATTTTCTTAGCCGAGAATGCAGCATACCTTTCCTCGCTCCACTTCTTTCGTTGTCATGACAATCACTCGGGAGTTCTCTTGAAACACCATCCGCCAGAAGTCATTAACTGTGTTTTGCAGGCAGCCTTGTGTGGCAATGTAACTCTTCTTGGGCTTGGAATTGTTGCACTTGGTTTCAAATTCAGGCTAGAAATTTAGGATGAAAATTCTTCAGACATTTGAAAGTTGTCTTCAGGACACATGAAAGGATTGAAAATACAAAACCTGGCCTCTCTGGTGTCCTAGAGGTTAAGTCTCAGCACTATCACCACTAAGGCTTGAGTTCGATCCCTGGCCAGGGAGCTGACCCACATATGGCTCAGCAGACCTCTCCTGTCTCGCCCGCTGCTCCCCCCAGCAGTGAATTTCAGTCATTCTGCCTATTCTGCTCCCCACTCTGCCTCTGGTGAATCCTCTCAGACCCCAGTTCTTCTATGCAAAAAAAAAAAAAAAAAAAGAAAGAAAATACAAAACCTGACTTGCAATGCTTGGTCATAAAGCACTGTGAAGGGCAAGTTTACCATGATAATATTTGCGTTGATGTAATCTGAGACTGGCTCATTGGGATCACCATCGTGTAGGACAACTCTGGTGTGATCAACTGGAAGAAAAAGAGACCAGTCACACAAGTACCCACACCTCTTCAGGACAAATCAATTCAAATCTGTTCATTCTAGGCTAGTCTAACTTTTGCTCATTTGCTTATAAAACCACAGAAAAATTAAATCCTAAATGAATATGATCATCTGAATACCATGTAATGCCTAAGAATAAAGTAGCAATGTCAGCTTCCTGGTTTTGATCGTGCACTATGGACACAGCATATTATAAGAGAAGCTGGGTAATGGGTATGTGGAAACCCTCTATATTTTTTGCAACTTATTGTGAGTTTAAAATCCTTGGAATATAAATTATTTCTAAATAAAAAGTTTTATTTTAAAAAAAGGAAGAGTAAAGAATGAATAGATGACCCAAGTCTGAGACTTGCATCAAAATAATCTGGGGAGCAGTCAAAGTACAGAGGAAACAGGATGGGATATGAGTTGGAATTTGTAAGCTGGATGATGGGTGCATGAGGGTTCTTTATGTTACAGAGGCAACTCCATAAAAGGGGGAGGTAACATGTTTCCCTCCCTCACTTAACTAGGAATGGAGCTGAGGGGCCAGGAGCAGCTCTATCACACAGAAGGCAGGGCTCTAGGAAGAAGAAAGAAGAATACTATCTCCGGTGGCGGACTCACACCAGGTACTGCAAGGAAGACGACATGGAGGCTGACAATGGCACTCATTATCTTGATATGGCATCTCCTTTTATCCCAGCTTTCTGGAACCTGCTTCAGAACCTTTTTCTTAAGTTTCCCCCCAGAAGGTGCCTTAGACTTGTGGCAAGCTTCCAAGCCTCAAGCGCCCTGCCTCGGCCAACCCTGTTTGGTTGGGCATTTACCCATGAGGGGATGGGTAACTTTGGGTGTTTTATTGGGAAATGATTATCCTTTCTTCTCTTCTCTCTCTTTGCACCCTATTTCTATTAAAGATCTTTCACACAAAGAGCCCCCTCTGCCTTTGTGAGCAGGGATGTCTGGACCACTTTAGAGTATGCAAGTTTGAGGACCCCTGGGTGGTGCCCCCTTGGTCACGTGCTAATATTTACACTATTCTACTTCTGAATATAAATGAGACTTCCCATAATAAAAAAGGGCTTTCTTTTTAATGACGCAGAATGAAATACAATATCTAGAAGGCAAAATTCTCATTTTATCAAAATTCTCATCAGCAAATTCTGTCCAAAGGAAATCTAAGTGCTTTCCCTAAGCAATGTATTATGGGAAATAGTAATAGAGTTGTAAGTCACCATAGAATAATGTTCTTTTATGGCTTTTATCAAAAAGACCAGAAAAGCAAGTGATGGCGAGGATGCAGAGAAAAAGGAGCCCTCATATACTGTTGGTAGGAAAGTAGACTAGTCCAGCCTCTATGAGAAACAGTGTGGGGACTTCTCACAATACTGAAAATAGATCTACCATATGATCCAGCAATTCCACTCCAAGCTATCTATCCAAAGAATATAAAAACACTAACTTGAAAAGCGAGATGTGTGCCTGTGTTCATAGCTGCATCATTTACAACAGCCAAGGCAGGGAAACAACCTAAGTGGATGACTGGATAAAGGTGAGATATATATACATGATGGAATATATTCAGTTATTAATAAATAAAGATGAATTCTTGCCATTTGCAACAATATGGATGGAACTGGAGGAGATGGAGTAAAATAAGCCACAAGGAGGAAGACAGATACTGAATGGCTTCAATCATATGTGGATTACTGGGCCTCCCCGGTGGCGCAGCGGTTGAGCGCTGGGTTGCGAAGCTGCCCTCAGCCTCTGCAGCACCGGTTCGATCCCCGGCTGCTCCCCGGCCACCGGAGGAGGGTCCCACATGGCGCGCAGACCTCTCCTGCCGCCCGCTGCTCCCCTCAGCAGTGTACTTCGGTCCTTCTGCCTGCTCTGCTCCCTGCTCTGGCTCTGGTGAATTCTCTCACCCTCCCGCGCTTCTGACTGTACCCAGTGCATGTGTAAACAGAACAAACAAACAAACAAACAAATAAATAAATAAATAAACATGCCTCTATAAAAAAAAAAAAAAAATCATATGTGGATTACAAAGAAACAAAGCAAAGGAACAGAAAACCAAAGCAAAACATCCCTTGGAATCCAGCCACAGAACTGAGGTTATCAAAAGCAGGGGGTGTGTGTGTGTGTGTGTGTGTGTGTGTGTGTGTGTGTGTGTGTGTGTGTGTAAAGGGTGCAGGGAGCCCAGGGAACTGTGGTCGAGGGTTACTAGTACTTTGGTGGTAGGTGTGGTGTGGTAGCACACATTTAAAAAGGTGTGAACCTGTATTTCTACAACATACACAGAGGTGTAAACCAACTTTACCTCAATTTACAAAAATAAAAATAAAAAACTCTTCATTGGCCTCACCTTTAAAGAAACAAGATGCTAATCAGAGGAAATTAATTTGACTGGGATCTTTAAGGGAGGACAAGGCATTAAGTGCTATTTAGATAGTGTGTGCCTTTGTTGCCTCCATCTTCCCCCACAACCCTCCACCTCACTAACGAGCCCATCAGACCTCCTGAGTAGAAATGAGAAACTTGGATCTAGAATGGAAGCAGCTTCCCCAAGGTCATTAGGACCATGCTGTGACTCGATCTGATTCTCTGCCATTTCCTGACTTGTCTCAGTATTAGAAGTGCTCCGCTCCCTCCCATCCTCACCTACGCACACCACAAATATCCATACGAATGTGAGATCCAGCACACCAGGTGTGGGGACACGTGCCTCAGAGAAAAAGATTATACTACACACACGCACATACGTGCACACACATGCACACACTCGCTCAAGGTGGGTTCGTAATCGCTGAAAACATGGCTCATACCTGATGAGAGATTAGAGCAATGTTCTCCAAATCTGATCATGTACCCCAATAAACGTTAATAATAAATTCTGAACACTGGACTATGTAAACACATATACCAGTTTCATCTGTAAGTTGGATAAATTCACTAGGCACATGTTGCCATCCATCCTCACATCAAATTAAAATTTTTTTTTTGATTTTTTAGATAAAGGATATAAATAAAGAGAATCTCTAAATGCTCCCTGCCTTCCCCTACTCTGGGGACCGCTGCTTTAGGGAATGGTGCTAAGAGCAGGCCTTTGGTGGCTCTGGGATGCTCTCCCACTTACTGACGCTTGTGACCTTGCTATAAAGGTCAATAAAGCAGGATGACAAGGCACCTGCTTCGTGTGCATGGGTGTGGACTGAGCAGGAGAGGGAGAGTCGGGCACAGTCAGCCCTCAGGAGAGGGACATCTGGGCAGCACTGTGCCTGGGGTGCTCATCCAAGGCCTGGCCTCCTTCTCCCCGTGGTTCACCTTGAGCTCTTTCTACCTGCAGCACTGGTGTAAAGGAAACACTGCTTTACAGACACCCACAGGTCCTCTTCTAAGCGGGGTGTGGTCATGTACCCCTATCACCTTGAACTCGAGCTCAGGGCTTCAGGGAGCAGAACAGCAGGAAGAGCCCTCAGGAGGAACCTGTCTGTTCCCCACAAGAGGGAACTGAGTCCCAGAAAGGAGGTGTGTGCCTTCCCCCAGGGCCCTGGGGTTTGGTCTTACAGAACAAGGATGCAAAACTGGAACCCGAGGCTCATGGTGTGGCCTGAACCAGGAAGACGGCAAGATGATCACTCTCTGAATTAACAGAAGGAAACAAACACGCCCAAAGTGTCCTAGTGGCAATTTTACTCAGGAAAAAGCATCACAGGAACTTGGTGACTGAGGCCCTCCATGCCCACCATAGTGATTATTCTGCAAACTGTTCACAGTGAAGAGGCTGAACCTGGGGTGTGCAGAGAGAGACACAGAGCCCCAGGATCAGGGACACTGGGCATGAAAACTTGCAGGAGTGACTGGTACTAAACAGAATATGAATACTTACATGGTAGGATGTTTTTATATCTATTTTTGTTCTTATTTTCTTGCCTCTGACCTTCTTTTCGGCTATAGAGAAGCTTGCACTCCTGCTGCTGTAGTGTCTAGAGAGAAACAAAAGCAAATATTATCATGGGGCAGAAGCTTCACTAAGAGCCCGCTCGGCCTCTCCCCTCGCAGGTATTTGTCCAAGGAAGTGCTGGGAGTTCTGTGCAACAGCTGCAAGACTGCTCCTCTAGGGCCTCCCCAGTGGCGCAGTGGTTGAGCGCTGGGTTGCGAAGCTGCCCGCAGCCTCTGCAGCACCGGTTTGATCCCAGCCTGCTTCCTGCCCACCGGAGGAGGGTCCCACATGGCACACAGACCTCTCCTGCCGCCCGCTGCTCCCCTCAGCAGTGTACTTCGGTCCTTCTGCCTGCTCTGCTCTCTGCTCTGGCTCTGGTGAATTCTCTCACCCTCCCGCGCTTCTGACTGTACCCAGTGCTTGTAAAAATGAACAAATAAATAAATATAAAAAAAAGAAAAGAAAAAGAAGGGACACGGAGGATATCTACATTAAAAAAAAAAAAAAAAAGAATGCTCCTCTAACATCGCAGCCACAGGAGCAATACCCTGGGAACAATGCCCGCCCACCCAGGACGGACTGCCTGAGTGATGCACTCATCCTTCACCCAGGAATGCACCGCAGCCTTTAAAAAGAAGTACTAGGTAAATAATGAAGGCCCTAGAAGATGATCAGAGTAAGTTTTTTTAAAAAAAGGGAAAACCTCCAAAACTGGGTAGGATATAAGTCACAGGTCTGCAATGACCTGTGTCCAGCAGTCCTCTCTCGTGTACAATGTCATCTCATGAAAACTGACCGACTTTGAACAAAACGCTATTCGGGGACCTTCTTTGGTCATAAGCTGTTTCTCTTCAAGTTGCAGTTTCCCAGAACCTCTGGGCACAAAGTGAGGACTGACTAGATATAAGAGCGGAATATACAACAAAAAAGGAATGAGGATTTTTTTTTTTTAGAGCTATGAAGGCCTTTTCTTTAAACTTTTCTTCTTTTTTTCCCCCTAAACTTTCTACAATGAATATATTATAAAAGAGAAGCCTTTTAAGACAGCATTAAGAATGAAAAGCCAGTGGGTACCAGTGTATGGAATCTAAGTAACATGATCCGTGTTCTGGAGGCATCTATCACCTACCTGCTTTCACCACTCATTAATTCAGTGCAAGCCAGCTGTCGCTTCTCAAATCTGGACACTGGGGGACAGAAGTGGTTTTGGTGCCACTGGATCGTGATCGTACATGCTTATCAGAAGGCTTTAAAGCCCTCCTAGGCCAAAAGTCCAGCCATAGTAGCCAGAGCCCCAGCCTCTATGCTTTTCCAGCTAGAGGGTGAGGAAAAGAATGCTTGGGCTTGGCAGCAAGTGGAGGGGAAGGACGCTCTGTGGGTGAAGGAGGCAGGCAATGGATCGGAGGAAGAAACTGAACCAGGCAAGCACAGTGGCCCCACTGGAAGAGGGGACACACTGACGTGGAGAGAATCAGGTGCAAAAACAGACAGAAAGGTGGACCAGCCAGGCTGAAGATTCCTCAAGGGATAGGTTTCATTTTCAAAATTACAAAAAGGACCCCCATGAAGGACCTTAGTTAAGCCTACGTATTAATGGAAAGTTATAAATGGGCCAATCAAGAAAGTGAAAGGCAGACTAAAAAGAAAAAAAATGTGTGTGTTTTCTATCGCGTACCAGGCAAAGAAGCCCCCCCTGGATGGTTTCCACAAGGAGAGACAGTCAACACTTCCCAATAGTAGCCCTGTTATCACTCCATTTCATTTATCTGAATTTCACAAACAGGTAAGAAAGACAGAAGTTTAAATTGCTATTTGACACTTTATTTAGCTATGACACACAACTCACAACAAAAGTGTTTAGTTAGTGAATCCTGGACAGAAACTCCAACAAAGAACCTATCACTTGAGAGTTCAAAATAAGCTCAGATTAAGTAATTAAAGCCATTTGCGTTTTCCACACTGGCATTTCTTCTTTACTGTGAGTACTTCTCACTAGCAGTGTTGCTATTAAGAAGGTTCAAGGGCCTCCTCAGTAGTGCAAGGGGTTAAGTCTCAGCACTATCAAGCTATAGGCAGCCACTCTGGCCGGGGAGCTGACCCACATGGCACAGCAGACCTCTCCTGTCTCTCCTCTGCTCTCAGCAGTGTATTTCAGTCAGTCTGCCTATTCTGCTCCCCACTCTGTCTCTGGTGAATCCTCTCACCCCCCACACCTCTGGCCTATACCCCAGCACTTGTATGCATAAATAAATGAAACAAATCTTTTTAAAAAGAAGTTTCAATCCTGATGTTTAGACTGGTCCTTAAGGTGAGCTTCAGTGAGCGCAAGCACTAGGAACTGAACCAGTCACTTAAACACCAACCAAGCGGAGAAAAAGAACAGCAGGACAAGTTCCATGGTGGGGGGAGGGAAGCGCTGTCAGAGCAACCCTATAAATGGCTCATTTCCTCCAGTCCCTGCTTGTTTCATCACCTTCCAATTCTCCCTCTGCTTTCAAGGTCAAGTCCAAGCTTTCAAATCAACTCACTGAGGCCTTCTTATCTCTGAGCTAAAGGAGGCCTGTCTCTAACCTCAGTCTCTCCCAGTCCCTCTCCTGTCTGTGCTTTCATTTCCTCAAGAACAAAGATAATCCTACAGAGTTGGTATAAGAGTAAAATAAGGTACGCAGAAAGTACAAAAGAGGCAAGTGAACCATGCTGGCCATTACTAGTGAACAGAGTAGTTAAGGGGCACCCCCTCACCCAGCACCAGCACTACATGGGTGGTCCATACACAGGGCACCGGCACCACCTGGGGGCGGGCTATACACAGTCTCTGTCCTGCCCCAGGTTAACGCAATCTAAATCTGCACTTTATAAAAAAGTCCATTTTCATATCAATTACAGTATTAATAGAGAGTGTAATGCTTGATAAATTGTTACATCCTGGAATGACTTTAGCTGTGCTTCAGTGGTGTTGACTGTATTTTCCTGCTTGTTCAGATCACTGCCAGCAAATCTCTGCCCACAATTCCTTTTAAATAAAACCAATACTTTCCAAAGAACTTTTTTTTTAAAGATTTATCTATTTATGCATATAAGAACTGGGGTACAGGCCAGAGTTGTGGGGGGTGAGAGGATTCACCAGAGACAGAGTGGGGAACAGAACAGGCAGACTGACTGAAATACACTGCTGAAAGGAGCAGCGGGCGAGACAGGAGGGGTCTGCTGCGCCATGTGGGGAGTTCCCTGGCCAGGGATCGAACTCATGCTGCAGTGGCTGCAGCTAGCTTCATAGGTTGCATCTTAACCCCTTGTGCCACTAGGGGGGCCCAAACATTTTTTTTTAAGATTTATTTATTTTATACAAGAACTGGGGTACAGGCCAGAGATGCAGGAGGGTAAGAGAATTCACCAGAGACAGAGTGGGGAGCAGAACAGGCAGATGAACAGAAAACACTGCTGAGGGGGGGCTCCCTGGTGGCACAGGCAGTTGAGCGCCACACTTTGAAGCTGTCTGCAGCCTCTGCAGTGCAGGTTCGATCACGGCCGGCCAGCAAGAATCCCACATGGCAAAGCAGACCTCTCCTATCTCGCCTGCTGCTCCCCTCAGCAGTGTATTTCGTCAGTCTGCCTGTTCTGTTTCCCGCTCTGTCTCTGGTGAATCCTCTCACCCTCCCATGCGTCTGGCCTATATCCCTGTTCTGTATAAATAAATAAATCTTAAAAAAAAAAAGAAAAACACTGCTGAAGGGAGCAGCAGGTAAGACAGGAGAGATTGGCCACGCCTCCAAAGAATTTTTTAAAAAGATTTCCCAGTGAGTCAAAGGCACATTCAAGTTGATATACACATTATACTCCAGCTACACTAAATTATACCTAAGGGCCTTGAACTCACTTGTTTCTTCAGGCCTTGATGTTCATGGACATGCTATTCCCTCTGTCTACAATTACCTTTTTCTGCCCTGAGTTCTAGGGAGGGTTAAGTTTCACTTGTACCTTAAGGCCATGTCAAATACTTCCTCCTATGGGAATTATCCGGCCCTACTCGGCAATGTAGGGCCTGACTCCTTCTGCCACGTAATGCTGAGTACTGCCGTCACTACCTCCCTGCATGGACCCAGGTGTCCTGCTTGAATCCCAGATTGGTCTTTCTCATCTGTCTCCACTGGACCACAAAGATGATGGGCTGTGCCAGTAACACACACAGCCTTAGGCACCTCACAGGCCCTCGAAATGTGTTTGCTGGGCGAGCAAAGAGAGGAAGAAAACAGAGAAGCCACAGACCATTGCTGGTAATGGCCTTGGCACCACAGACCCCACACTCAGAACACCATTCCAACACTGCTGACCTGACTTCAACATAACGGAAAATCACTGCAGGCAAAACACAGAACAGCGTTTCCTGATCATTAGTCATTTGAGAAGCATCTTCAGATGCTTCTGAAGCACACCCTCGGTTGTTTTCTTAAATTGATCTCCTCTTTTTCTGCTTCATAAAGTTTATTTCAAAGAAAGCTTTGCATGATTGGCACCATGGAAACACCAGCCCCTGCAACACACAGAAGGCAAGGAGATGGGAGACGTATCACCTTCTACCTGGACATACATGCACTAGGCTTTGTAAAAAGAATGGTCGAAGGCCGTGGCAGGGTGGAAGGCAGTGCTAAAGGACAATATGACCTCCTTCCAGGCTGCCACAAGGTTGGATAAGGGTTAAAAAAAGAGAGCTTTCTCATTTGCTAATTCAACCATCCTGTCATGAGGTACCACCAGAAATCATCTCCAGAGCAGAGACATTTTGCCAGGCTAAATTCACAGTTTCCTGCAAGGGGCTTCCTAATCAATACTTGACAGCACCACCAACTCAGGTCAGCCAGAGTAGCCGAGGCTGACTCAGGTCAGCCTCATCCTGCACTAAGTTCCCAGTTGCCTCTGCGCAGATCTGGAGTTTGAACAGTATACAAGTTGAGACAGGCTTTGGGCCACAGAGACTTCCAGAAAGGACAGGCCCAGAGCCCCTGATGCCAGGCACAGTTGGGCCCTAACTGCCCGTGGCTGGCA